GTGAGGGACAGGGAGAGACCGGGCGGGGCACAGGTAAAGGTAGAAACTCTGATTGATTAAAAAGCTGAAATTAGGGCCATAACTCTGTCTTGTCACTGTGGTTTAATGGAAAATAATTCTTGTCTACAAAAAGCTTGATTGTCTAATTCTTGTCTAATAAAAGTTTGATTGGAAAAAATTGGGAAAGGCTTGTGTTCTGTAAAGTGTTCAACTCTATACCACAAGATCAATAATTGAAAAGTCTGTAGCCTCTGTCCTCGTGGTCCAGACAAGCCCTCAGCTCTCTCCTTCTCCACTATTTGCTCCTTCTATTAAATATTGTCATTTTATACTTGTTCCTCAGGCTTTGAATGTCCCCTGATGCTGAGCTCTTTTCTGGGTGTCCCACCTGGGATGTGAAGGGAAACCTGCTTTATCAACAATAATAATGTCCTAAACTTGGTCCCTCCAGATAAAATCCTCAAATACTATTGAGTAAAATACACTGATTTAAATCCTAAACTTCTTCAGCACCCTCAGCCTTGTCCTGTACTTGACTTAGGCAAAACCAAAATAACTGTACAGCAAAAATTTAAGCTACTGAAAGATGACAAACGTTGGAGGAAAAGTGAGAAAATGTTTTCAGAGGTGGGGAAGCTGAAGGCAGACACCTCCTGATGTGAGACTGGGCAAATTGGGAAACCTGGGGGCTGGCGCAGCCTCCAAAGTGTTGGCTTGTTTCTGCTGTTGCTCATTTGCAGTTCAGGGCGAGCACCTGAAGAATGCAGCCTTGTCACAGGAGAGCACGTCCCTGAGCACCACACAGCCAGAAAAGAGGGAAACAACAACACATCTTTAATTAATGAGAGACTCTGTCCCTGTGGGTCCATCTCTCGCGTCTCAGATGATGCATCAAGCTCAGTCTGCCCTGCCCTGCCGTGCAGCCAGCCAGCCTCTGGCAAGAGATTATCCCCTGGATGTCAAACAGCAGCTCAAGCCCCAGAAATCACATCAGCCCAAGGATAAACAGCATATCAACAAAACCATTAACTGCAGCAGCAACAAACACATCCACTCCCCCTTCCCTGAGCCATTAGACCCCATTTTCAAACACTTCTGGAAATAGGTTGAATGGAAATAGACTCTGGGATTCCCTCCTGGCCAAGGCTGAAGAGGTATCACAGGAGCCCTGATGAAATGGCAAGCACTGAAATACAAGAACAGATTTCTGTTCTTTTGTCAAGAAATTGATTTTTGCCAGAAACAACATGCTGCAACCCAGCGTCTGTTCTTGTTAGACTTCAAGTCCTTCCAGGAGGAGTTCTTCAGCAAATTGGCTCATTTAGACACAACAGCCAGGAGCACGGAGAGGAAAAAAAGGGTTTTGTTCAAGGAAAGCCTCTGTATTGTAAACAGGATAAAAGGGGATGGAGAGAGTCACTTATCACTGTCTCTCATGTCCCCAGGTCATTCCTGTGTAGAATCTGCTGGAGAAAAAGGATTTCATATTCCCTGCTCTCCCAGAACCCCGGCTGGGGGATTTTCTCTGGCACACAATCTGCAGACCCTGTGTGAATTCAGCAGCAATTTCAAACCCCATTATTGCTGTTCCCATTGCTCTCCTCTGCCTGTGAAGCTCCCAAGGGGGAGCTGGATCCTCACAAGGCCTCCACTGCTGTGCCTGCACCAGCACATGTCCCCCTCACAGCCATGGAATTTGGGCTTCTCCCCAAACATGCTGATGCTCTGTTTAATATTAAACCCAAACAGGGTCTGCCTGCACCAGCTCTGCCTCTGCTCTGCATGCACCAGTCCATGTCCCCCTCACAGCCATGGAATTTGGGCTTCTCCCCAAAAACACTGATGCTCTGTTTAATATCAAACCCAAATAATGCATCTCCCTGTTTCTGTGGGCGTGATCCCATCAGGCACAGAAACTCTCTGCCCCCCTCCCTCTTGCTTTGGGACACTCTCTGCATGCTTTGCTGATACAAATAACTGTGACTCTCAAAACAAAGGAGTGCCAAAGCCCAGGGCATTGTTTGGATGAGTCCTGATGGAGGCTGCTGTGAGTCCAGCTGCAGGCCATGGGCTGCATGTCCCAGCTCTGACAGGCTCCTGGACACAAGGCAGACCTCACAGCTCGCCTCTCAGCATTTCCAGCCTGGGGAAGGGGCAAAACCAGAAGGGGAGACATGACAGGAATGTTGGAGAGTCATCTATCAAATTTCTCTGGCTCTTGGGTGATGTGCTGGACCCAGGTCTCCCTAGGCAAGGAGGTTTTTAAAGACACATTGCACCTTCCTGCTCATCTTCCCAAATCAAGAACATTTCACAGTCAGTTTTGAGACTGATCTGTGGCCACGAGAGTCACAAATGCTCAGAGCATCATTCCCTTCTGCATAAATATCCCAGGGAAAGGGATATGGAAAAGATGGGGAAGGCCAGGCCAAGGGAAGAAGGAGTCAAGGAGCATCTCTACTATTTCATTCCCTCCCTTTCTTCTGTAATGAGGCAGGGAAGTATGGCAGGATTAGGAAAAGGTATAGGAATAGGACTAAAAATAAAAACAAAATAAAAACAAAATAAAAACAAAATAAAAATAAAAATAAAAATTAAAATTAATTTAAAATTAAAATTAAAATAAAGATAAAAATGAAGTAAAAATAAAAAACGTAAAATTAAAAATTAAAATTAAAATAAAATATAAATAAAATAAAAATAAAGATAAAAAATAAAAATAAAAATAAAAATATAAAAAATAAACCCAGTGGTGAGGAACACTGCAGCATCCCCCAGCCTGAGGGATTTTTGACACACAAATGGCATGGAGGTTTGGGGAATATCCTGGATAAATGTATTTTCCTCATGGTTTCATCCTTTCCCTGGTGGCAGCCACACAGGGCTGCTGGAGGTGAAATACTGACCTTGATGGATTTTTGGTGCTCTGCATGGCTCTGTTAGTAGCCCTGCACCTCCACTGCACTATAAATGTTATATTATCATAATAATGATTAAATACAACTCAGTTCTCCATGCAGGGCTGAATTCCTCGTGCCTTTTCCCTGCTGACCCTGCCTGTTTGACCTTATCAATGAAATTCAGGAAACAGGAGCAAAGAGCCTCCTCCAACAGAGCCAAGGAGGCAGAAGGGGCAAGAAATTACATTGCCTTCACCAGACAGTGCACAAATGAAATTCCAATAATTCTGCCACTCCTCCTTCCTTTTGCCCAGCATCAGGAACCTGTTAGGAGCCTCAGCTGCCTTCAATTGAAATGGCATCCCCCTCAATCCCAAATCTCACAGAAATCTCTGAGTTGTGGCCTTAAAAGTTCTGGCTTTGAAAATATTTTAATTTATTTCCTGGGCAACCCTGTTTAATAATAATACATAATAAATTTATTATGGCAGATTCTGTCTGGGCACTCTTAACCCTGGACTGGATGTGAATAATGTAACACTTACATAGGAAAATCTTAAAATCTGTGAGCAATACCATTATCCTGATTTTTCCAGGGGTCAGTTCCCTGACAGTCAGTCTCTCTGAAATGTGTCAGGTTAAGAATTCCATCGAAATTAGACAACATCATCAGCTGCTTTGGGAAATTTTAGGGGCAGATCTTTTTATGTTCTCTTGCCCACTGAATAAGCAGCCATTTCCTGGGTCTAATTTTGGCAAACCAATCCGGATAACTGCGGTTCATTAGCTTAATAGATTAATGCTGAACTGTTTCCCAAGTCAAATCTGGATGTCAGTCTGCCTCATACTCACATTTTGTCAATATGGGGGACCTTAAAATGAAAAAAAAATTGAGGAAAATGGTTTTATTTGTGTTTTATCCACAGGGTAATCCAGGCATGCAGAGTGGCCGTGCTGGGTCCCTCTCCCTGGCTGGGATGCTGCAGGGGCTGTGCTCTGTTTGTTGTTAAAGCAGCCTGACACAAAGAGGCCCCAGGAGCTGCAAGCACCCACAGGATGGATGTCTGCTCCTGTCAATCCAGCCCCAGTCCCCCAAGAGGGAAAAGGGGATTGTCTGCAGCACTGAGGGGGGGTGAGTTCTCTCAAGCATGTCATAGAGGAATTTTCCTAAAACCTTCCCCAGTAATCTGAACAAAACCTTCCCGAGGCTCTTGTGTTAATGGAGACCAGGAGAAAGTGTGGGGGCATGAAAGATGGAATTCACCATTCAGTGCTGCCTGTGCCAGAGTCACGGAATCGTGGAATCTCAGGATGGTTTGGGTGGGAAGGGACCTTAAAGCCCATCCAGTGCCACTGGCAGGGACACATTCCACTGTCCAGGGTGCTCCAAGCCCTGTCCAGCCTGGCCTTGGACACTTCCAGGGATCCAGGGGCAACCACAGCTGCTCTGGGTATCTACTGTGGGTCCATAGTAGCCAGCCTGGTGCTGCTCAGTGTATTTTTTATATTCCAGGCATTTCCCAGGGCCCAGGTGAGTCTCTGTGAGACGGGTCCCT